TCCATTATAAATTATTCGTTATAATTATTTGTCTTTTTATTTTATTTCTTAAAGCTAAATTATTTTGAAAGAATAAACTTTTTAATTCTTGTTTTCATTGTGAAATTTTTTTTTTAATTAACTAGCTTAGTTTTTTACAATATATAATAATCTATTATTATTTTATTTAATAATATGAACGTTTTATTAATCATTCAATAGTTATATTAATTAATTATTTATATATATAAATTTCTCTTTTATTTTTACATATCAATAATATCACCATGACAAGTAATTAAATGAACAAAGTCGGAGATAAAACACCTTTTAATTTTTCATTATTATTATTTATGTTAAATGCAAAAGAAACATTTTATATTTATTTATTTATATACTTATTTTTAAAATAAATAAATTATTTTACTATAAGAGACATAACTAAGCGGACAAAACTGTATAAATACTTACAATAATGTAATTATTTGGACATTTATTTTTACTTTTGCTTGCTATTGGACGTGCTAAAGAAATTTCCCATATATGAATGTAAAATTAAATTTGAATTTAAGGCTGAGATTATTTTTGGTTTTGTAAACAATTTGCTTCAAAATTTTTCTTAAAGCAGATACATGATAAAGAAGTTATGTGTGGCAATGGCTACCAAATAAAACTCCCATTGACCTGCAGGACATGAACTCGGCGCAGGTATAACGTTGTATAACAATAAATGATTTCATGGTTTGAATGTGTTCACATAGCGTTCAATTTGTAAACTTGAATTTTATCTTGATTGCTTGAAAATGGGCAGGGGTGTCGTGACTGAGTGTAGAAGGTTGAATTCAATGTGCCGAAATGGCTTGAGAGGAATGTCTCTACGTTGGTGTTACAAAAAAGAGTGGGGGCGGCTATCCTATTTATATGTTTCGAATTAATAAAATAGACTATTGTCTTGGCCTGAGTGATGTCATTTTTTTGCTTTTTGTGACGAAAATGTAATCCAAACTCAACTTAACTTTGATGTTAACGTGATGTTAAAATAAATGAATTTTTGATCTCGTGTGATTGTGTGATACATAAAAAAGCAAAAGCGCACATTGCGTTCTCAGTTGTAAGCTTGTTTTGTAATACAAGTCAATTACATTATTTGTTTTAATTCATTTTCTGGAAATTTGATTTTATTAATTATTCAAAGAGGAATAGCCCCATATAATTTAAAATTAGAAAAAACGATTGTAATTTATTGAATGTCATAAATAAAATAAAAAAATAGGCTGATAATAATAATAATGATTTAAATTTAACGTACAAAAATAATAACGAAATAAATAATAATTTTTTTGATTTTAGAGATCATAATGACGTAACGACATAAAAAAAAAAGTTGATAATTGTTGAAAGTATTACAGGAGTAGAGAACCCTTTTTAAACGATGGAACAAAATTTCCAGTATTGAGCATGTAAATATTTATCTATTCCAATCATTTCAGTTCCTAATGAACAGATTTTTAATATGTCAAGTAAACGGACAAAAAGTTTTTTTTTTCAAGTGATTTTTCTCTCTGTAAAAAGAAATTAGATTCAAAACATATAGATATGTTTTATTACATCAGTGAGTATTGTTGTACATTTTACATGTCCGTGTAATTTTTTGACCGTGTCCGCGGATGTCAGAACTTTTATCTGGCCGATTTTTTTTTTTTTTATCGCATCAATAAAGCTGGTTGATTTATCATAAACAATCATGTTTATTTTTTTACATGTATTTCCGTAATTTATTATAAACTTCAGTGTTGGCTCTTCCAACTATGATCATCTCCATTAGAAATTAATAGAGCTGATACTTCAAAAAGAGTTGACATTTTCAAAGAAGCATGTCTCTTGAGTTTGAAGTTTCTTTTCTCCGTTCTCCTTTCTCATCACATTGCTAACCTTTTTCTTATTTTGCGTATTCAGGAAATTACCAGTTTCTATATCTTCTAATGATTAGACTTGAACAGATATTGGAAGAAATTTTGGATAATAATAATGTATCATCAGCCCATGCGGACAATTTCCGAAAGGTTACACCTTTATCCCTCAGTTCGTAGGGATAAAGCCTCAGCCTGGGAAAACATATAAGAGGGATATCCCCCTTATCAATCTTATCGATCTTTGGGTATCAGTTGGATAATTCACTCAAGATCTACAGACCAGGTGATCAGAGATATATCCATGTATTTATATTTATCCCTCGCCAGGCTAAAGCTGTATCCCTTTGAACACAGGGATAAAGGTCAGACCTACCCGGAAATCGTCCGCAAATGGTGACATTACCTTAATTTTTTTACTTTAAGACTGTTACACAGATCAATTCCGATAAAATCAAATTTACTTTTTTTTCTCCATTTCGATATGTTGCATATTATTTTCATTGATTTTTTATCTATTATTATTTACTAATCAAAGAACCAAAATGAACAAAACAAACTCAAAAATATTGATAGCACTTATGATACTCCTGATCAGGGCTGGAAATAGGGTCTGAAAAAAAAGGAAGTTCCTCCTGAATGCTAAAAATTTTCCGGAAGAAAATTTTTTGGGTGCTAAAATTTCTTTACTTTTACTTTGAAAAACTTTACTAAGAGCATCACTAAAATCATAACCAAATAAATCAGTACCTTTTAAACCAACCATTATTAATATGTGCAATA